ATTACATTCGATTGTCCCAACTAGTTTTGTTGTTCACTACAGTATTATTACTAATTTTTACAATCGATTATTATCAAGAAACTATAGTTTTCATTAGATTTTTATTTGATATTGAATAGATGGTAAAATTTCTAAGTAAGCAATTACTTTATTAAAAAAATATATTTTCACGGGAACGAAGTATAGTGGATGTATAAGTGATAGTATATTTGGATTGTGAATAACAATGGAATCTATTAAGCAGGTTTCATTCTGTTTGATAATCATTGAGTGAATATGAATACTGTTTCACTAATCATCATTCAAGAACGAGTTACCAATGACTATATTGCAACATAATTGATGGAATTCAAACAACACTAAGGATTAGACGAATATGAAATTGGTTAATACTTAGTTGTCAGTCAACTATATATAGAGTTTTCTGACTATATACGTGTATTTTCAAATATATTCATGATTTACCAACTCAGTGGTCAAGAGACCGAAGGTCCTAATTTTGAGTCTCGTATTTGTGATTGTAAATGTGCACCTCTGAGGAGTCCCATACTAACACGAAACAACCGTCCAATGCTTTCAGGTTTTCCGTAATGGTCTAGCTTTAATCAACTCATGAATTCAACCATTAAATTTACAAAAAACCCAATAAACTTTAAAATATATAAGTTTATATCAATCATAACATTTCATTAGATACATAAATAATCTGATCAATGAATTGGAAAGAAAAATCAAAAAAAAATTTCTCTTTTTTTTTCTTTCAAAAAAGAAAACAGAGAAATTACTACTTTACTGTTTATTTACTTATTCGTCAATCATTTCACGCAATTTTATTTTATTTACATAGTGACTTGTTTATTTTCATTATAAGTTAATTCATGTGTATATTGTATATTATAATAAAATGACATTGTTCTGTATATTCATGTGTTCTACCATATGGATATCCACCACCTAGTTCATATCTCTGTTGTTTAAATTTATTTAAACATATTAACTAGTTGTTTTCATATAAATATCTATCTATATAGATATATACTACTGAATTACGTTACTATGATTACGGTGAATAGTATTAAGCAGTTTGACAGTTATTTGTTTAATGTTTAATATTTATGAAAGATTGAAGTATTTCTTCTTATACTTTAATTCTTTTGTTCTTTATATATATATCATTTATCAAATTAAAAGAGAAAATAAAAAAAAAATAAAAAAAATCTAAACTTGATATTAACTAAGAGTTAAAACTTTAATTGACAGAATATTTTTTTATTTTTTTATTTTTGAAACAAACAAGCAAACAAAAAAAAACATGAAAAAAAACACAAAAATTTTTTAAAACCGATGAATTAGAAATAAATACTAATTTATATAAGAATATTTATTTTTTTGAAAAAAATAAAGAAAGAAAAATAAAAAAATAAAAATAAAAAAAAGAAAAAGGAAAAAAAACTGTACAAAGTAAATAAACTTAGAGTTTACGATATATTTTTTTTTAATGATAACCGGAAAAGATAATGATCATTATGATTATGATTCTATTATATCTTATATATATTCTATATAATGGTAAACTATTCATTATTATTCAACTATTTTTAATATATAAATCATGGAATTATATTTTTAAACAATTTTTGTCGGTAGAAATAAATGATGGCTAACTAATAAAGTTCATACTACTCATTATATTTTTATATAAGTAATACAATAGATTACATTTAAAAAGTAATAACAAATAGAAAATGCCGATCAAGTATCAATAAGAAAAATCTGTAAAAAATTAAAAAAAAAATGAAAAGGAAACTATCGGTGTTTTCTTTTTTTTTGGAAAAAAAAGAAAACAAACATCAAAGATGAGTATCGTTATTCATTTAATTATAATAAAGTAAATGTTACCAGGTATCAATATGAAAGTGTATAAACTTAGATAAGTGATCTCCTTTTAATGATAAACTACAAATTATATATCCATATATCCATCTATCTATCCTTCGCTCCCTCTCTCTCTCTCTATATATATAGTCGGATATGAATAGAATAGGATTTGATACAAAGATGCATTCAATTTGTTACAGTTTTTGTATTATCAAAAGGGGATTGGAATAAGATAGAAATGCAATAGAGTTAAATTGATCATTTTATCATTAGAAATGACAAAAAACAAATTAAAAAAAAACAAAACAAACAAACAGGAAATGTGGTTCAAAATGAATGACGGAAGTTGAGGATTAAGAAATATAAGATAAAGAGAAATTTTGCATTATTGTAATCGATTTAAATATTACTTAAGTTATCAAATTGTTGATTATCAGAAAGGGTTTTGTGGAGATATCAGTAATTTCATAAATAAAATCATGATATAACTGAAGCTAGACCACTATAGAAAACCTGGAAATACTGGACGGCCCTTTCGTCCTATTATGAAACTCCTTAGCAGTCCTGGGTCATGTGTTCGTCCTACATTAGGACGAAACGGCCATTCAGTGCTTCCAGGTTTTCCATGGTGGTCTAGCTTCAATCGACTCATGATTTCAACTATGAGATAATTTTTGCTTGAATTTTGATCAAGACACATACATATCTAAATACGGCTCAGATCATCAGTGAGTGACTTTAAATGTGTGATTAAACTTATTGAATGATTAATATTGACTGCATGTAACCATAATGCATGGTATCTAATAAGTTGAATTAACACAAGCATATCATATGCTGATGTACATCGGCTAAGTTTAGGTCAAAAGGGTAAGTGACGGATTTTGACAGACAAACGCTACTGGTTGAGAGTTGATTAAACTAACTTAGGGACTTATATAAATCAATAAGCTTGTGTACATGATGGATCTGGTAAACAAATAAAGCTTCAAATTCATTTCTTTTCATCTCACTCGATTAACATTTTGGGCTCGCATATAGGAAGCAAACATATCGAAATCAAAATCGGTTGACTTATCAAGATAACAATAATGTGGAAGGCAATTAAGATACAATAAACGGAGTGGTTTATTCAACTGTTTATATTTCGGCCACTCATTTGTTTCTTATTTCCACTCGTTCATTAATTCTATATAAATAAATGATATTACTCACTAGTCAAAACAAAGAATTAAAATACAAGGACCAGAGCACAATGAAAATCTACAGCTTAGAAGATCTGTAGACCTTTTTGGTTGTTAATTTAAAATTATTGATTATTAAACCAGAAACTATATTTAAACACTTAATCATAAGTCGAACATCACAATTGTGCTTCTATATAAACAAGACGGTAAACATCTTGATCTAGTGTTTGCCGTACAGCAAATTTTGTCATTTAAAGAAATTAAAGAATTAAATTGTACGAGATGTAACAAAAGTAAATGAATAATAACTACGTATGTGTCATATGCTACTTATGCCGACAGATATAATTTAGTCTGTCACACTAATCGGAAGTGAGATGTCTAGCAGTAGAAGATTGCAATGAAGAAAATAAAAGGGCAATCAAAAGAACAACAGAATTAGAGGAGTAATGTAATATTCAAAGGACAATGTAAAGAAGATGTACAAACGATGTATTTAATGTATGATTTTCATGTTTTACTAACTCACTATAGTTTGCATTCAACAGTTGTCGTTCACTATTTGTGGGTACAAACAAAGTTGTCCAAAATAAATATGTACTGATTATCCGGTAATAGGTTCACTGTGAGACAAGTCATTTTCATTGGTGTTTTAAATGTTGACAATGTCTAATAGTAGCATGATAATTGTTTACAGTATATTAAAATTAAACAACTATATTTGCTTCATGGAACCGGTAAGTTTTATATCATTTAACTGAGGAGTGAGCTCTATATATCAATTTATTTAAATATGGTTTACAAAAGTAGGTAATATGCTTAGGCTACAAGTTTTTGATCACGTATTTTTGAAACTTTACTAGTTTATAGTTAAGCAAATGATTGAGAAATAATGAGGTTAGGTAAGGGTACTAGACAGAAATGAGAATTTGGTTTGAATCTTCACCGAATGATGCGTTTGGGACATATGTTACATATGGCTAACAGCTGCCTAACTGTGGTTGTATGTTAGGAGAAAGTTAAGAGAAGCAAAACCGAAACATGACACCTATTTGTGAAGTCATTAACTGCTGGTTTGAGTCATGTTATTTGATACGAACTACTCTTTTAAAGTCAGCCCAATGATTGAAGACACTAGATGTTATGGTTTAGAATAGGTCATAATGGCACAAATGGATTTACTGTTTACCTTTTCAAACTATATTCTCGATATTTATACATTCTCGTTATAACTATTACTACATTGATTCGATTTATTTGCTACTCAACTTCTTAACTTCATCTCATCGTGTTGATGTGGAATTGTAGTTTGAAACTAGTGCATATTTTTACTAAGATCATAATTATTCACTGATTGACAGACCGGTGAAATACAATAGATCATAGTAATCAGTTTAAGTCAAATACATGTTTCATCATATCTATTAAAAGCTTCAAATAGTTAATATAAAAGAGATGTAATAAGGAATGATAAAATTATTTCAGTCCATCTTGCCGACAAAGACTTAAAAGTGATCTTTGTTGAATATAGCGTTTAATTTTATTCATTGTACCGATTCACATGATTTTACAATTTCGTCTTTCTGATCATTGTTACCTTGTAGGTCTTATAAGGTCAAGTTTTCTAAAGGTTTTATGTCAATCATGAGATTTCATAATAACAATAATGGCAACAATTATAGCCATTACCCATCTTTGGTTAGGTTAATTATACTTAGGTTTATTCTGATATAATGATGCACAGTAATAAAATCAAACTCATATTTTATTACTTAATTCACACTTATTCACCTATCTTATAGAAGAGATAACTGTTTTCTTTTCGGTGATTTATCCTAAAAAGAAGTTCCCGAAACACATATACTTTATTTATTCAGCGGTATTTTTTTTCATATATTCATTTATATATGCTAGTTAACTATTGAAGTAGTATAGATGGGATATATTCATACTACTACTACTACTACTACTACTACTACTACTACTACTACTACTACTACTTCTTCTTCTTCTTCTTCTTCTACTACTACTACTCTTACTCCTCCTCCCCCTCCTCCTCCCCCTCCTCCTCCTCCTCCTCCTCCTACTACTACTACTACTACTACTACTACTAATAATAATAATAATAATAATAATGTTCAATGTTATGTAAAGTTTTTATTGATATCAACACGAACATTAATGAGTTAAGCATCAATTAATTTGAAATATACTTGTTTCAGGTTAATAATATTTATTAGAAAAAGGGTTTTGTGAAGATTTTAGTAATTTAATAGGTGAATTCATAAGTCAATTAAAGTTAGATCACTATGGAAAGGAAACCTAGAAGGACTGGAAAACTGTTTCCTTTTAGTATGGGAATCATTAGCAGTGAGTATCCACGATCCCACTCTCGGGATTTGAACCCAGGACCTATAGGTTTCGTACGCGAATGATGATGGACGGTGGCACAATTTCGTGAATTGGTTGAAGTTACACATTAACATCTTTGGATACCGATCATCTCAGTGGTCTGGAGGTGAAGTGTCCGTGCGTGAAACCGATAGGTCCTGGTTTCGAATCTAGTGTGCGGGATCGTATATGCACACTGCTGAGGTGTCCCATACTAGAACGAAACGGTCATTCAGTGCTTCCACGTTTTCCATGTTGGTCTACTTTCAACTGAATCATGAATTCAACTACTAAATTAAGAATATTTAGTTTAACAGATTGAAGCGAATGAAAGGAACACTGTTATATATATAGTTTTCTTTATTAACTTTGAAAAGGACAAAAACGATTCTTTTTCATAAAATAACATCAGTTTATTTCATTTTGTCAAGCTTTCATCTATTGCTTACAATATGTAACATTTAAAACAAAATTTTACAAAAAGGGTTCAAACCCCTTACATTAAAAGTATAATATACTGATGACGTTGAGTGATTTACCTACCAATGAGGAAACGCTGCATAGTTATCTAACAAGTAACAATGAAAACCAGTAAAATGACAGTGGAATAACAACTTAGTTTTAAATAATTAGTCCTCGCGTGTTCATTTATTATTTTTAGTGAATATGAAAGATCAAGTTTACATATTAGGAATTAGGATAGTATTCTAAATTAATGTATTAATCACATATAGTTATTCTCAGTACATGATATTGGTTATAATTTAGAAAAGGTTAGGGTAAGGTATTAAAATTAAGGCTGAAGTTTTGAGTTGGGTTTATGAATTAAGGTTGAGGTTTTCATCACGAACTGTGATCAGTAATAATTCAATGCTTTGCTTCACTAAACACTCTTAACTACTCCTTAAATCACACTAGGCACTTAGACACACTAATCTGTCTTAGGAGCAGGTTAGTTTTGTTATTTAGCTTTAGAACCATCTTAAATTGACATTTTAGTTGGATAGTAGATATTCTTATTGATTCTGGGCGTTTTAAGAACCAATTATTATCAAGTTTCACCTAGTTACTAGTAACGTTTAAGTTATCTATCATTGCACTTCAATTTTCGCTCAGAATACTTGATTGGTTACCTCACAAGAATAAAGCTGGTTAAAATGTAGCGTAAGCCTATACCGGCATGAAGCATGTAGCTACGATTTAAATGAAATAAGATGAAACCAAGGGAAACATTACAAATATGCATAATTTATGAAATCAAGGTCTGGAGCATCTCGGTTAAAACAGATTAGCAAAATACGGTAGGGCTGAAATTAAACGTTTATATCATGTAATAAATAAATACAAGTTAATGATGCATAAGAATTAAACTCGGTCAATCAAAGATTATCAGCTAGGAAAGAAACTGAAAAATGACGTAGTTATGCAACACATGAAGAATAGTTTGAAAATGTATAATGTAGTGCAATGAAGATTATGTTAACTGAACAGAAAATAACTAACAACTGTCTCATTTTCTGCACGTCAGATAATTTATGGATGTTTGAGATAGATATATTACTAGCAAATATGGGTAGAGTAACGCATGGTTGCTTGTTAAATAGTATGTAAGGTTTTAAGGTATCTCCGATAGTGAGATGTTTAGCAATCACGTTACTGAAAGTCTTTACTTCTCTAGATCACACAGCAGTTTTTGGACATGTTTATGTAATACATGGCAGGTTCTTTCTGTTCTATTATTGTAGCATCTTTGGTAAGTACGAAACATAATCTCTGGCAACATTAGAAAAATATCATGATCCAGTCAAAACATTCAATAGTTGTTTGTAAATCAATATCTTCTCTCTTAGAAACTTAAGGGTAAACTTTATTCTCTGATACAATCAGCGTTTACTCATCATTGATGTTATTTGTAGTGTAATTATATAACATCTTACCATATGTCTCATTAAAGTATTTTGTCAGCTGAACTGATGAGTATTATAATTTTGTTTAAAATTTAGGGGGTTTCTATCTGATTACACACTGACCATCTTCCATAACTCCATTTTTTAACGTAATGATTAAATATCTACTAGATCTAAAGTACATTGTCTTTATTTATATAATCTCTGCGGTAATCAATAAACACATAAATCTTAATTAATATATCATTCTACCGACCTTTACTGTATTGTCAACTTATACTTAAATGCTTTTTTTTATTTATGTGCTTCATAAATTGCAATATCATTCATCAAATAAATGAGGAATTAATTACAATGTACTTTAGAACTATTTCTCAATGAAGCAATGATGGATAGTAGCTAGCAGTGGAATCCAGAACGCACGTTTCGTCCTACTTGAGACTCGTCAGCTGGATGTATCTGCATCTCAGAGTTATTATTATTTTTTAATTGTTAGTTGATGTTCACTCTGAAACTCGAACCCATTACAAAACACGCGTTCTGGATTCCACTGCTAGCCACTATCCATCATTGCTTATAAAGCTTGTGGCTTCAGGCAATATCGAAGCAGTTCACACAGGATACACATAAGAGACTGATCAATTGCAGTCCTAAATAACAATGGGAAGATACAAGTAAACAACACCAAGTGAATATTTTTCTCATTTATATGTATATATATATACTTTTCTTCTCAAAAAATGTTCCTTTTTGGTTTTCCCTTTTGTTATATTCTACTTTTAATTATTGTTAATCCTACCTTTTTAAAATATGTTCTATTTAATTAAGTAGGTTGTGAAGGCTTATTTGATGTGAAGGTTGTTTTGTCAAGAATTGATATTTGCTAATAAAATACTGAAAAAAAACCCAGGAAGCATTAAGATTACTTAACAGGGTAATGATTAAGTATTTAGTGGTAACCAACTTTGAGGTAGATTAACGAAGTTCTAATAACAGGTTAAGATAAACCAAGTTAAAAATAAAGCGGTTACCATCAGTGAAAATGGATAATTACTGCATCATACCACAAATAGGCTTAATTTGGAGACCTGTATCACTTGATGCAAAGTTTGTAATCTGTGTTCACTTCAGAGCAAAAGATTAAGAGTTTGATTCTTGTAAGGTATAATAATCATCATTTTGGAAAACAATTTACATTCATTTATTGACAATAGCATGTTTAGGAATGTCTCGTATAATTGTAAAGATAAGTAATAAATTACATGAGTGTTCAATATATCTAGACTGATAGATTTTGGGAACTGAAGTCGCTTTATCTTCAGAAGATGTCGTCACATACGTGAAATTTAGGGAATTCAAATTTAGCTCAGTAGATACTGTATTGCTCGGCTACCTCACTGATAAGTTTGACAATAACTATGCCTTCTAAATAGAAATAATGAGACTTTGCACTTTTACTCAAGTAACGCCTGAATTTAAATAATTTTAAAAGGCTTTTTACTATCTAAGTTTAAATTCATCCTTAAATATGTGATTTTATCCATAAATGTTTTACAAGTGAAAAATACATAAATGCTTGACTTTCGTTATATAAGATAATCTGGTTGGACGTTGGTCTCATGTAATGCTAATACAATTATCATCTTTATTGATGTTTTCATGGTGTTTAGATAGTTTGTACCATACGACATTAAGTTTTTCATATAGATTTGATTTAATTTCGTGGATGATATATCTATGGGTGAATTGCTAGTCCATTCTTCTCTTATGGAACCCTAACAAAATCATGTCAATCTTAGAGGTATTATTTCAACAAGTTCACCTTGAAGACAAATGAGACTTGATTGGAATCCTGATATAGTTGAGATTACAAACTCCCTATACTAGAAAAAAGGTATTGCCAATAACTTTCTGGTTGTTTATTAAAAGCCGACTTCTGATGTAGTTTTCCTACAAATTGAACAATCTCCATAACCCACTATTGATAATAGTCAATATGTCCAATATAATGGAACAAGTTCAGTTTAAACCCGTTACTATAGATTCTTAATTATAGCCAAATAAAATATGTTAATCAATTCTGATTTATAATATGGATATTCAATATGTATTCTTTGTTTTATAATCTTATTTTCGTCTTGTTTTCTAGAATTCGGATCAATGCTAATATCCTACCATAGGTATCTTTCTTACTGTATGTCTAATAAAACCATTCAGTACATTGGAATGAATACTACAAAAGTAATTATGTTGTAACACATTATAAATAAATATCATTTCCGTAAAATATGAGAAATTAGAGAATAGTTACCACGCCGAAATAGAGGTCAAATTTCTTAAAGTAGCATATATATGCATAAGATACCTGGTGTCTTTTGGTATTTATGAAGGAGAAAGAAATATTTATTAGAATGTGAAAAGAACGGGACTGTAAGTAAACAGGAATCGATGGAAAATTTGGACATATGAACTGAATGTGTTCTTTTCGTTTTAGTTATTCACTTATTTGGTTGACAGAAATTGGTAGAAAGCATCGTGTTTTGCACAATATTCGATTTGAGCCATATATATAATATAATAGTGTGGTTCATTGATCGTTCAGTGGTAAAGAAAGGAAGTTTGTTAGTTTGTAAAGTTGAAGGGGATAAGTGAATCAAGTGGAAATTTCAATGTTGATGTTTTCCTTATCGTGGTCATTGAGAAGTATAATAATAATAATAATAATAGTAATCATAATAATAAGCAACTACATACTATGTTTTATTGAATTACACGAAAATAATCAATTGATCGTTGATCACTTATTGTTATTTTAGATACTCAACTGTAAGTGCGGTAATGTTGGGATAATTCGATTAAATTCTACAGACTACTGTTTTAATCACCACCATC